AGTTACCTGACCATGTGGACAAAGTATTAAAAAAAAATTACGAAGAAATATCAGGAAATGAGAGCTTGAAGACGGGATATATAGTTCAAAAAGGAAATGCTTACTTGCTTGGTACAAAATGAGCTCTGAACATGACAAATAGTTAGAAAGATACACAGACAAGTTAAGGAGAGTAATAAGTCACTGAAAACTTTTCAAAGGCTGCATTTTCAACAGAAGACTCTTCTTTATGAAAAAAAGCAATACAGTCTTTCCAGTCAGATGAAAGATGCAACTTATTTTTAAAGCAAATCCACCAAGAGACTGGTGATACTGGAAATACTGAGGTTTCCCATAACCACACTTAAAAAGATGAAAACACGTCCCCAGATTTGGTAAAGGAATTTTCTAATACCTTCACAGCACTGAGTCCATCCTACAGTATCTCTTCCATCAGGATCTGAAGGAAATAGCTGATACTAGCTTGGAAGGTACTCAGATTCCTGAGCTGTAAACTAAACAAGGCTTAGGGAAATCACAAGCACCCTTACTTTGTGCAGCCAAACCAAACGTTCCCTGGTTTCCAACGCCATTAAGTTTGCAGTTATTCTGGCATAGGTAATGCCAGTACCATGAAAGAGCTAAGATTTGTCATTCTACATTGCATCCAAATGGGGTTTTCATCCATCTGATGCATGTGCTTGTATGTGTTCAAGGACAAAACTGATCACCCTCTACTTTGGTATGCAAGTCTGGATATTCACTTAAAGGAATCCAAGGCACAGCTCATCACTGAGAGCTTTTCAGACTTATATGTCATTCTCACACCTGCATTAAAAAATGATTTAATGAATAATTTTGTTCCATGACTGCATTCATCCATTTTTAATAAAATGAACATTTAGTCCAAACTTAGTATTCTTCAGCATTCTGTATTAATTATGTACTGAAACTATGGAATGTTTAGTGTCCTAACTCATCATTTGACTAAGCTTACTGAGACTATTGGCTCAGTTATGAATTATCTTTTATTCTCTACATATCTCTGACATGCAAATTTCTATAGCAGTGAAACATCTGACTGCTTTGCTCTCAGTTAATGTTATATTAATATAACAATGAAGTTAATTACATTTCCAGATACCTTTTTTACCACATTAAATTAATGTTTGAACTTGCTTGATACGCAACCTGCAGTTACCGAAGTTTGGGTTTATTTTTTTTTCCAAATTGATACAGGTGTTAAGATATTTGTATTGGCAATAATGCCAGGTGAAACTTCTACTTTTATGTATCATCTGTTTGTGAGATGCTGGATTTTCTAAATCATAGATTAATTATTTCTAATTATAATTTCACCTCTGGAAGACTATCTGCTCCAACAGTAAGAATTGCATGTAAGGACCTCATATAAATAAGCCATCAAAATGCTGTTCCCATGATGTTAATGCTCTGCTGACACCCATCCCTTCACACTGTACATCTGAAGTGTTTTAAATGCCAGAACAGAAGCTGTGCAGCTAAAAAAAGGAGAACGGAGATTTTACCTTAGATTTTATACCATTCTCCAAATAAAGAAATAAATTATTCTGTCAGTCTACAGTAGATAAGATTAAAAAAAAAGGGGCTAAATTGCAGCAAGTGATAGATAGGCCCAACTTTGGGAAAAATGCACTCAATAGATAGTGAAGCTCTGGGACAGACTGTCTAGAGAAGCTGTAGAGTATCTGCTGCTGGAGGTTTTAAATACCATCCGGACAAACATCCATCAGGATGCGGGATAGATAAACTAGGCAATCTCTTAAAATACCTTCCAGTTTTATTTTTTTTTATGATTCTGTGAGTAGGCTTCTCATACTGAAATATTTCTCTGATTAGAGCAATGCTATGCCTTGTCTGCTGTAAAGGTATTTATCCTTATGTTGTTAGAGACCTCTGATGATGAATAAAAGACAGATGCCTGGTTTGCTATCAGACGCTGGTTTTTCAGCTAGTTGGCATCTGAAGTTGCAGACAGATTTCCAGCAGAGCTCAGTTCTAGAAGTTCCTTTGTTTCAGACATAATGGGACTTTCTAGGTCAAGCATCCTGACATTTTCTACAAATATGCTTAGGTAAAGATCCCCATCGTTCTCAGGCATAGGACTGCATTCTTGTAACTCACCTAGTTACAGAATGAGATCTGAGGCTAATCCTCAACCTCATGTGGCTTCCACCGAGATTTAAACCAAGAAGTTTTATTATTCGCCTTCAGTGAGACAAGATCATGCATGAGATCATTAAAGTTCTGCGGAGACCTTATAGCAGCTTTCCAGTACCTAAAGGGGGTCTACAAGAGAGCTGGAGAGGGACTTTATACAAGGATTAAGGATCACTTTTTACAAGTGATTGAACAATGGGTAATGGCTTTACACTGAAAAAGGGTAGGTTTAGATTAGATATTATGAAGAAATTCTCCCTTGTGAGGATGGTGAGACACTGGAACAGATTGACCAGAGAAGTTGTGGATACCCCATCCGTGGAAGTGTTCAAAAGCAATAGTAATGGGGCCCTGACCAACCTAATCTAGTGGGTGGCATTCCTGTCCATGGCAGGGAAGTTGGAACCAGATGATCTTTAAGATCTCTTCTGACTCAAGCCACTCTATGATTCTATGATCAGTTGCTAAGTTTCAATGATCATATGGGAACTTGTTAAGTCATGGCACTGTGGTTAATTAATTATTTGAAAGATTAACTTACATTGAAGAAAATATTTCAGGAGTCAAGGAGCCTAACACTAGCTGATACTGTTCCTTAGGCTTCCACGTTAAGCCACTCTAGAGGCATACTAAGAACCGACAAAGATGCTTGTTCTGACCACCTATAGTTGTGTTTATGCTTTTAAAATGTTTGAATGAAGTTTCTAAATTGATTCTGAAATTGGGACCTAGACTTTAAATTTAGCTGGTTCTGATTTAGTTGTTAAGGTGTTTTTGATGAAGGGGTATTTAGCACTTTTCAAAAGCTTCAAGGACACACTTAGCTATATGTACCAACAAAAACGCTGCTGAAGAGGAAAGGATACATGTTCCTAGTTACATGTACTTTCAAATCTATTTCTCAGCTCTTTAGCTATATCACAGCTACATAAGACAAACTGTCTTGGAAATTTGATCCTCTATGCACAACTGCCCTGAGGGAATAGCCAGAGCAGGATGCTGAGGACAGTGTAACTAAGTCAAAGACAATAGCAAGAGCTGTCTAGAGTCTTAAACCTCTTCAGAGAAAGTGAGGCACCAACACAGTTATTTTCTTATCCACCAACAGTATTTTTTAATTTTATTTTGTATTCTGTATTTCTATTATATTTCTGTATTCTATTTTTATTCCTGAATACACTGGTCTATTGCTGATTATAAACAATTTAATTTTGAATGTGAATTAAGATCTCTGATACCGAACACTTACAGAAACACCTTTGTGCCTTATTTGTGCTTTATTTTTATTTCAAATCAGCTGCCTAATTGTAGTGCTTACAGAATTGTAGGGCACTTGGATTTTAATTGTATCAAGTTCAGGCAAAAATGACTATAAAAGCATCAAAGAAAAATAATAGTTTCTAAGTGCAAGTGAAAAGATGCTGAGATTTACATAATGGATTTAGTCAGACACCCCTACTGTTTTATAGAGGGAAAAGTGCATGTGCACAATAAATAAATTACACTGTGCCATCAGTATGTTGCATCTAACTGCATTAGTGGCTCCATTTTTCCCCTCATGACTTAGGTGGGGTAACATATCGGAAAGCATATATTTCATCATTATACTATTTAAATGGCTTGATAAATCTGCTTATAGATGACAGAAAGAGTTTTTTATTGCTCCTACTAAGTTATTTATATTTAAACCAAATTCTTCATGTGTCTACATGCAAGATATAAAAATATTGAAAGAAATATTATTATTGTCATAATAAGACCTATCTGTGACTCAGGTAGAACAAGACCAATATCTTGTTTTTTCACCTACTCTGCCTTCAGGCTGCCTTGCCATGTGCACTTTTCATAGTGTCCACCTTCTAAATCTACTCAGTTCAGGAAAGAGCTGTGCAAACCATCTCCATCCACCTCCACACTGCCCCCCATGAGGGTGTTTTGATCTATCTTTCAAGAATTCATTGCTGAAATTATTTTCTTTAAATGCTGTTCACATTTGGTGAATCTCATTTTAATGTGTCAAAGTACTGGTCAGAAATAGTTCAATTATTAAATCCATTTTTATGGAGACTGAACCTTGTTTAAAATGGAAGTTTATAGAACTGGAATGTTTTCGATGAAGTTAATTAATATATTTAGCTTCCAGACTTTTTTATCTTCTTCCTTCATACTTTTCCCTGTGTTTTTTCTGTGCTTTTTTTTCATTTGAAAAAGGATAAGAAGAATGGCTTAAATATGGTCAAAAATGGGGAAAGCCAAAAAATGGAACAATAATGAAATTTTTCAGATATCTTCCATGTATTTTCTCAATTTTTTAAATACTAAGAATCTCTAGAAATAGCCTTTTCTGTCAAAATTGTTAATAATTTTTTTTGGCCAGCTTGCTTCTTTTCTCTGTTCAGTGCATCTACGTTGGAACAAATGAGAAAATCTAATATATGTGTTATGTTTCCATTTGCAAAAGAAAAATAAAGCAAATTAAGGCTTTTGTTACTAGAGGTCATAGACAGGATGTATTATGGACTTGATTTTGCAAGACACTGACTGCCTGCGGCTCACTTTGCACCGGGTGAATTTAAGGGAGTTGTCACATGACCTATTCTTTTATTAGCTTAGTTGCAATGGAAAAGGTAGAGCAGTTGCATCAGAAGTGGAAAACGATGGCAGGAAAAGTCTGGCAGTTTGTTCCATAGGGGTGATGGAAACAGCTATTCTCAAAGGATCTCTGCTGAGGAACATAGAAGTAATGTAGAGGAAGATAGTAAGAGCAAAAGAAAATGAAGATTTCAGAATAATAGAAAATAACAATAATAAAGCGCAAACTATTTCTAGAGCAATAACTGCTTAAAAAAAAGGTATCAAGCCAGATGAATCATATCTATATAAGGGCACTAATTTAAAGGCATTTTATCAGACAAAGAGAAATAAGCATTTCTAGAGAATGATTCAGTCTTTAGGTAGACAGCATATCTTTCTCTCTTGAGAGACATCTCAAACCACATTGTGAAATTCAGATGGAATAGAGCTGGGACATGATGACTGGGCACCATTAGACTGGTCTTTCCTACAGTTTCTGCCTTACGCTAGGCCACTGGAAGTCTGCTCCCAGCTCCAGAAGGGCTGGGGTTTCTCTTCGTCATTCCAGCCACCCACACGGCAGACATTTTGAGATCAGGCACCTATGGAGAAATACGTAAAACTTGACCCTTAACTGGCACTAAGACAGGATCCAATGAGGAGCTGCAAAACCCTATAAAACCCAGTAAAACCCCAAAAACTCTCTTTAGCCCTCAGAAAAAGGACGATTTTGCCACCTAAGTACTGCTCACCGCATAGACTTGCGCTCAGAAGTTGCTCATTGCAGAAGGCTGCCTCCTGCTGCCAAGGTCATCTGTTTCCTCTGGTGATGGCCTGCAGAAAATTGAGGGTATGGTTTAATTGTTTCTACAAGTACTGTTATTTGTCTGAGAACCCATACTATACTTCATGCTGGTGTATTCCCCATATATACTCCCTATATGGATCAGTTATCTCAGTGCCCTTTTCAATAATTCAGCCTGTGTGCTCTGGCTATGTCATCTTGGGAAAGGAGCAGTACCAAAGAGCTGTGCTTCTCGTAGGAAGGAGGAGGAGGTACATGTTACAGGCATTCCCATGTTTACCATATCTTTTGTGTAAGCTTGATTTTCACAGGTGTATTTGCATTGGGAAGGTCCAGTTCCACAAAGGTCAAATGCTCTTCAGCGGAAACTTTTCCTGAAAGCAGACTGCAGCATCAAACTTTCCTGCATGAAAAAAAGACATCTTTCCTCACTGGCATATTCAATACACAGAAGCAAAATATTTTTGCCTTTTGCAATATAATGCAACTTAAGACATGCTGCCTCCCACATAAGGCCACAAAAAAGGGCTTCTTTCTTTTATTCCCAGGTTTTTAAGCTCACAACGTTTCATGTTAGGAATTTCAGTCAAAAAAGGGGATTGCTCTGAAAGCCACCGCTTGACGAACACCACCTCGCTACTGTCACGACACCGAGATCTATACGGACGCCTGGTCTGACTCCCACGGGATGCTCTGGGGGGCTCACGCGTGGCCCCACTGACCCCACAGTCTCCCGGCCACCGCCCCGCGCCAGGCATCCACCATCTCCCTCCGCGCACCCTCGGCGCCAGCGGTGCAGGGACCCCTCCTCGGCCGCGGAGCCCCTCCACCCCTGGGGCGCTGCGCTGCGTTGCGCGGGGCCGAGCGAAGCGCAGCCGCCCCCTCCCTCTCCCTTCCCGGCTCCTCTGCGGCGCAGGGCCGGGGCGCGGCCGCGGGGCAGGTGCCCCTGCGCGCCGCGGCGGGTGCGCGCCTGTGCGTGAGCGGGTGCGCGCGCGTGTGTGCGCGCACAAGGCGGGGCCGCGCAGCAGGCAGCCCTGTGCCTGCTGGTGCCGTCTGGGAGCCGGGGCGTGGAGCGGAGGAGGGCGCGGAAGGGAGTGGGGGAGACGAGCATCCTCCAGGCCGAGGCTCTGTTTGTTTCTCCGGGCTCCGCGCCGGCGAGCGGGAGGCGCTTCGGCACCGGTACCGGCGAAGTACCTGCGGATCGGCTTTCCTCCTCCTCGCTGGCTTTTTCCAGTTTTGTGGTGGTGGTAGTTTTTTTTTTTTTTTTTTTTTTTTGTGTGTGTGTGTGTGTGTTTTTTTTTTCTTAGCCCTCCCTCAAATCCAGGGAGACGCTTCTGAAGCGGGGTGAGCGCCGACCTTACGTAAATGGTGCTGCTCCGGGGAGGGCATCCCCCCTGCGAGCCCCGGGCCAGGGGAGCGTCCCCGGGCGCCGCTCGCCCTGCCTAGCTGCCGGGCTCCTCGCCGCCGTCGCCGCAGCCCCGCCTGCGATCCGCACCGGCACCGGCGGGGGCGGGCGGTGAGCAGCAGCCGGCAGCCCGCAGCCCCGTCCTCGGCGGGTTTCGCCGCCTCCGCGGACCGGCTGCGGGGATGATGCGGCGCGTCGGACCCCGCGGCGGGGAGGGCGCTATGTCAGAGAGATAACGCGCCTCCGCCAGCAGCCCGGGGGCAGTGTCGGTGCCAGGTCCCCCCGGGACCCGGCTGCCTGGGAGCCGCTCGCAGCTCAGCGGCCGGACTGGCAGCGGCGGCGGGGCCGGGGAGAGACGGGGCGAGGCCCGGCGGGGCGGGCGAGCGGCGGCCGGCCGTGCCGGGGCACCCCGCCTCCGGGGGGCAAGCGCCCGGGAGGCTGAGGAGCGCAGGCAGCACAGCCAGGGAGGAGGAGGAGGGCAGCGCCATGACTCATTTGCAGGCAGGTCTCTCCCCGGAGACTCTGGAGAAAGCCCGGCTGGAGCTGAACGAGAACCCCGACACCCTGCACCAGGACATCCAGGAGGTGCGGGACATGGTCATCACCCGGCCGGACATCGGCTTTCTGCGCACCGACGATGCCTTCATCCTGCGGTTCCTGCGGGCCAGGAAGTTTCAGCACTTCGAGGCGTTTCGGCTCCTGGCCCAGTACTTTGAATATCGCCAGCAGAACCTGGACATGTTCAAGAGCTTCAAGGCCACAGACCCGGGCATCAAGCAGGCACTGAAGGATGGTTTCCCTGGTGGGCTGGCCAACCTGGACCACTACGGCAGGAAGATCCTCGTCCTTTTTGCAGCCAACTGGGACCAGAGCAGGTAAAAGCAGAACCACCTGCCTGCCTTAACCCCATCTTCCGCCGGGAAATGCATGGGAAAGCCGTGTCAGAGCAGAGGGAGAGAGAGTGGGCAGCAGGGATACACCCGGCGCTGCCCACATTGGGATGGGGAGCAGCCTGGAGGGCAGAGAGAGAGAAGAAAGGAGAAATGTGTTTTGTGGCTTAGGACCTTTTCATCCAGGTCATCCTTTGGGGTGTAAATTTTGGGAGGGAAGTAGAAACTGCTTGGATGCTCTTCTCAGCTGTCTGATAGGAGGTTTACATCCTTCTGCCTCCCCTTAGCTGAAGTGAGCTGGCATGGTAGACGATGTGCTTATCCTCCAGACAAAGGCTAGTTGCACTCTCTGGGTTGGTCTTTCTGTTTCATCACTCACATTGCTCAGGAGCCATAGGAGAAAGTGGGCGATGCTGGCTGTGTGTAAAACAGGAGTATCCATCATGAGCTGAAAAGTTTGCCTGTGCAGGAAGCTGAGGCTCCAAATCCTTACCCTCAGCTAAAGGAAGCTCTTCCTAAGCCTCCTGGAAATGCCAGGATGGAAGTTGCTGTAACTACTTCATTTCCCACTCATGCTGCTCCAAGTGTCAATTCCCTGCATAATAACATCCAAGCCCACAAAGCTTTGGTAGCAAATTCAAAGCGACTAGTGGAGTCCCTAGAACACTTTCTGATCCTTTTTGGGACCACTGTAGCCTGAAGATGACTTAGTAGGCTGACCCAAGAGCTGATTCCCATCAAGGCCCTTTTAAGCTGTCAGCTCGATACTGTGTGACACTATTTGTTTATTCTAAATACCAGTTGGGTATCATGCTCAGTTTCTTCTGCGGTCTAAAATTATATTCACAAAACCTGCTTGATTTTAGTACATGTAAATGAAGGAATCCATTAAGAGTGAGCTCTCTAAAACATGCTCCTATGAGCACTGCATTGTTTCCCTCAGCTCCCAACCGGAGGGCAACTTCAGAATCTGAAATGTTTCTTCATGAAAAAAATTAAAATCTTGCTAGTTACCATCTTTTGTATGGTCAACACAGTGATGGTATCCTAAGCTCAGCTACTTTGAAACGTGGGGAGGACACAAGCAGCTGGAAGAGTGGATAGAAAGAACAAAATTTGGGGGATAGGCATGCCTAAGCTTGCCCTTTAGGTGTTTCTTTAGCTGTCCTCTTGCAGGCTGCGTGGATAGCCATTGCAGGGAGCATTCCCACAGCTCCCTGCGCCAGTTGGTTTTACAGTTAGGGACGGGTCTCTACCCAGAGGGCTGCTGGCTCACCTTGACTTTCCTCCTCTCCAAATGTGGCAGTCACATCCACATTGCATATGGGGGAAGTTTCCTAGCCCTTGCTCATCCATGAATCAAGTCTAGGGACTAGGAGAAAGCTGTTTGGCACAAATCAAAACTACCCATAGCTAGGCTAACAACTAGAAAAGGTGGATGAACATATGCGGAGCTGAGGCCTGCGTTTTTTTTCTGCTTTGGTTTTCTAGCAGATGGAGCAAAAAAGCTGAGTGGTGATGAGGCTAAGGACTTGCTGAGCAGTCTTCGTTTCCCGCATAAGGATCAGGTCAACTCTTAATATTAAAAACAACTCCACAAACTCTTAAAAATCCTTGAAGGAAGAATTAGTAAAGAAACGGATGGTTAGGACTTTTATGAAGTTATATGTCTGTGATGAAGAAGTTCCCTTCTTAAAGGTAGTGTTGTTTCTTGTTAATGAAAAAAAATCCTAAAGCTTTATGTGGCACTTGTCATATCGTCACTTGACTTGATCCTAGTCAAAAGGGCACCAAGAATTCAAGTGCAGAGATTAAGTGGCATTTGAAATAATAATTGTCATTTGAAAAGAATGATGTTGAATGTGCTGATATTTAAGGTACATGAGATCAGCTGACAGAACAATACATTTATTGTGATTTTTTCATGAAGTCTTAGTGGTACAATTAATATTCTTTATGCTATGACACTGAAGTGGCTGGGGCACACCAGAGTATGTAATGGCCATGTTTGCAATTGGGTGCCTATTGCTTTTCAGCACTGCATGCCCATGGCACGCCTCTCCTCCAGAATAAGGGATTTGTTTTCAGATAGACCACTCAGACAAAGCAGGGAGAGCTGAAGGCCAGCTACAGGGAGTGGCTTGCTTCAAGGCACGTGACAAGTCAGTGACACATCTGGGAATGGAGCTAGGTCATTTTCTTTTCTAATTAATTTAGTGTCTTCCATTATGTGATGTTCAGTGGCTGAACTGGGGGAGCACTGTGTATGGAACTTATACTAGGGCTGATATGCAGTATGTCTCATGCTTATGCCTTAACTGACTTGAGATCTTGCAGTACATAACCCAGTGTTCTTCTTACAGGAACAATGGGAGGATTACTTATTGAAACCTGTCTTGTTAGGCCCGCTTTGTATGCTTCATAAACTAAGTTAATAGATCACAGCACATTTATCATGTGTGCAGCTTATTATGGTCAGGATGTGACAATTAGAAATAAAAAGTTCCAATTTGTTATTTAAATGAATAGCAGACGTACGATAGATGATTTATATAGCACCGGCAGCCTATGGTTTATATAGTTCCAATTAGAAAGAAAAGCGTGGGAGGCAAAAAATTCCTGTGGTAAAACAAGCCTGTGTACTAGATGTTAAATCATTAAAATAAAGCAGGGCCTGAAAACTGTACCAGATGTCCTACCATCTGAACAACCAAATCTGACATGTATTTAAAACAAAAAAAAACAAAAAAAGGAAGGTGAAAGATAATGAACTGAGTAGCCCAGCAGCTTTGCAGCAGGACCCAGCCTAACTCTCCACCCTGTCTCTGTACTATGGGGAAAATGAAGATGGGTGGCACTCTGGGAGGGATCAGCTTTCCCTATTAGCTTCCAGGTTGTTCATTCATAACTACATTTGGCTTGTAGGTGTCTACATGCATTTGAAGACTCCCCTTTTCTTAATGCGTCCAGCTGGTGAAGTTTTTTTGAGTTAATGGTTCAATTAACTTCAGCCTTCAGCTACAAGGGATCTGTTGTCATGCATGGTCTTCTGTATGTTTCATGGCACCTGTACACCCATTCCCCAGGAAAA